CATCATCAAGAAGCATGAATGATACCTTCTATGTCTTTTAGTTGATACCACAGTACCTATGAGAATCAAATTACAAGAAGGAAAGGGGATCTAAGAGCACCATCTTTTACTGTTCCACCAGGTCTCCACAGCAGATAGTGATTACAAGACACTCTAAGTATCTGGTAACTTGCCAGGCTAAAGTTAATTTCAAGTGCATGGCTTGCTATTTTATAGAATACAGCACTACACTACCCCATATATGCTTCTTATCTCCAGTTTAACTTATATACTAGAGAAACTGTTCAGATAGACTTGTGAAGCATCTGTGATACATAACTCCTTTTACCATAAATAACAAATTTAAGAATGAAAGTATCTTTTCTAAATGAATAAATCTAAGTTGGTGTGATTATTGTTAAAATTTGTTTCCAGTTTGCATGATAATTTATTACTCTACCAAAATACTGGCGCAAACTATACACCTATGCTTCTAGAAATTTAACAACACTAACCCCAATTACAGTCATATAGCTATAAGGAATGTCATTCCAATGTATCAGTCTAGCTCCTATTTTGGACTATAAATCACATTAGTAGTAATAATGAATTCAGATGGCTGGCAAGTATCCCATGGCCTTAGTACTATTACTCATCTAGGACTAAACTTTATACATGATGTCATTAATGTCTTATTATGCGTCCATTTTAGAAGCTCAGATGACAGGCAATCTTCAAAGGGTTCTGAAAAGCTCTACTGAAGATTCAAACTTTGATTTTATCATATTTAGCAAAAAACTGACATGCTCAGCTGATTACTCAATATGCAAAATACATTTTAAAAGATTTAACGTATCATTTATGTGAATGCTTGAAGTTTTTTTAAAAAATATTTTATTTATTCATTTATTTTTATGTGTATGTATGTATTGTCTGAAAATAGGTAAGTGCACCCCTGTCGTGCAATGCCCTCTGAGGACAGAAGAGGCTGTTGGATCCCCTCGAACTGGTGTTATGGACAGTTGTTAGCTGCCATGTGGGTGCTGGGATTCGAACCCAGGTCTTCTGCAAAAATAGACAGTGTTCTTAACCACTGAGCCATCTCTCCAGCCCTGCTTAAAGTTTTTTAAACTAAAAAAGACAAGGATTTTAGCCAGGTGTGGTGGTGCATGCCTGTAATCCCAGCACTTGGGAGGCAGAGGCAGGTGGATCTCCGTGAGTTCGAGGCCACCCTGGTCTACAAAGTGAGTTCCAGGCCAGCTGGGGCCCTGTCTCAAAAAGACCAAAAAACAAAACAAAAAAAAGACAAGGATTCTGAAATAACTGATGACACATTCACTTAATCTGATTATAATTCCTACATGATGGACAATATTAAATCTATCAGAATTTTTTAATTAAACTTTTAAAATTTATTTTTATGTGTTATAAGTGTTTTGCCTGCATTTATGAAAGTGCACCATGTGTGTGCAATGCCCGTGGAGGCCAGAAGAGGGCATCATATCCCCAAAACTGGAGTTGGGGATAGTTGTTAGCCACCATATGGGTGCTAGGAACCAGGTCCTCTGTAAGAGCTGAGCCATCTGTCCAGTCCCAATTTGTTTTTGTTTTGTTTTGTTGCTTTGAAATAGGGTCTTCCTGTAGCCCTAGCTGGCCTGGAACTCACTATGTAGGCCACAGTGAGATGGAGCTGGCCTCATCTCAGAGAGATCTGCCTGCCTCTACCTCCTGAGCACTGGTAGTGTGTGCTACCTATTAGAATTTTTAAAGAAAAAAAACACACTATGTTCACTGAATCCTCCTTTCCAAATACTGTATTTCCCTTCCCAGTCTCACCCAGGTAGACAGTCCTAAAAAGAGAACTTTCTCCTCTGTCAGAGATGTTGTGTACTCTCATGCAATAAGATGGCTGAAGCATGCAAGACTTCAATGTGAAATACAAATTTCTGCTTCATCTCCCTTAATTTTCAGCCTGTAGTCAACCACCAGGGGCCACTTTGCCCAGATATATGCTGTCATCTGAAACGAACCTGTTTTAAGCCCTGGTACCAGTATCACTGTCCATCATAGCCATCACACTTCACATACCTACCAAGCTCAGTTCATCCTTTGTAATGTCTTTTTCCCATCCATCTTTTTAGCTGCCACTGCTCTGGCACCATGCAATCCCTCACTTTCACTTTTGCTCAACACTTAACAATTCTAAGAATCTCTTGAGCTTTTCTAATTCCAGTCCATATATTTTTCTCTTTCTCAACATATTCTTAAAAAGCAAAGTTAGGAGATGGGGAGCTGGCTCAATCAGTAAAGTGCCTATAGTACAGGTATGTGGACCTGAATCTGACCCCCAGAACCCACATAAAAAAATCTAAGCATAGTTACACACATCTGTAATTCTAGCATGGGAGAAGGGAAAAAAGTGAACAACACAGGCAAACTTCCAGAGCTCATTAGCCCATCAAGCCATCAGTAAGCACCGGCTTCAGTGAGACTATGCCTTTAAAAAAACAAAAACAAAAACAAGGCTGGGAGTGATAGAGGAAGACACTTGTGTACAAAACATCACAAATACATATCACCCCCACCTATCTACCTCCACAATTTTTTTTAAAGTGAAGGTGCTGGACATCAATTTTTTTCATGCTTGATATTTAAAACATAGACCCAAAACTAAAACAAGTCTCCTAAAATATCTGAGGTACAGTATAAGTTTAGTAACACATTTTAAAAATGTGTTACTAAACATATATATATAGTAAATCATAATCAAATAAGCTCTCACCATGAAAGAGCTATATAATTTATAGCATGCACAACTGCCAGTTTAAATTCGCACAAATAGCGACAGGTAGAAAACAAACAAAAAATCAAATTGCAGGTGGAAAAAAAAACAGAAAATGAATTTAATACAATAAAATTTTATGACTTTAGGGATACTATATCACTACAGCACCATAAAAGTTCAAAAAGTAGAGAAAGAAGGGAAAACACATTTCTACCATCTTACCCACCATTATCAGTCTGGGATTTCCCTCTGCCTTTTATTTTCCATGTGTGTATTTTCTGCATAGCTTAAAATCACAACTAAAAAATAACCTACTTGAAATTATCCAATTTTCACATTGCTGTATATACTGATTTCATCCTGTTGTGGCAACAGAATTGGAATGGAGCTTTATACATTCTACTTTACTTCTTTAGAAGACACTCTCAGAAACTGGAGTAGAGGCCTAAACACGTTTATGACCACTGAAATCTTTCCAAACTTCTCCAAAATGTAATTTCCAAGGCCACTAAAGCACATGTCAGGACCATTCGCCATGCTTTCTGAATCACACAGTAAAAAGGAGTACTAGTCAGGAATTAGTAACTTAATGTCATGTCTTTTTAGCATTTTTATTTGAATTTCAGAATTACTACAGCTTGCCAGTCACCCAGGTTGGCCTAGAACTCAGGACCCCCCATGCCATGGCCTTAGGAGTGCTGTAATAACAGGCATGCCCCACCATTCAAATCAAGAAAAAGAGAGTTAACAGAATCCTAGAGTCTCTGTGACTGGGCTCTTTACTAACTGTCCCACCCCAAATTCACAACCACAACTTTAATATAGATTTGTTTCTTGTTTTCTTCTTTACAATTTTACCATCTTTCTACAGGTAAACACTAATACTAGTTTTATTTGCCTGCTGAATCAATTTAGTGTTTACATGTATCTTCTTTTATTCATATTTGTTTAATGAAATTCATTCATACTGTTTAGAAATGCTGTGGTATCTTCATTCCAGTTTAGTATTCCTTCTTATTATTATACTATCATTAATCCATTTTGACAGAAATTTGCCATTTTTCTAGACATTCGCTTTAACAAAGAATGCTACTGTCTGCACATGTTTTTGTGCAGTTGGTGTTGGTGATCAAATTCATACATGGTAAGCAAACACAACCACTGAGTTATACTCCTAATCTGCTATACAACAGGCCCCTGACAATAGATTACCACAATCTAATTTTTTTTAAAAAATGGGATAATTCAAATAATGTAGTAGAGCTGAGGGACTGTTTGTGTCTGGTTCACTTTACTTAGGGTCTAGCCTCTTGGAGTCTCAGCCCAATGTGACAGGAGTATACTAGGCTCTCAATTTTGGATATCTGTACAAGATCAAGACAGTCAACATTTCAGCACAGGTAGGGGAGGGACCCATGAGGTCACACCCTTAGCTAAGAAGCTATTGGCAGTTAATGACTGCTGGGAGAGGGGAAGAATCATTTTACTTCAGGGGTGTGGTTGCTGGCAGGTGACCTATGCTCTCATGGATAGTCCCACATCCACAGGCACACAGGTAGCACTAATTAGACTAAGTAGATCATTTTAAGAAGAAAAGAACATTAAGGTGGGAGGGGATGTGCAGAGTGTGTGGGGAGGGTCTGAAGGGAGCAGGAAGGGGAATATGGTGGATAATGTGATCAAGATACACTCAATACATGCATGAAACTGACAATGTATAAATAAAATACTCCTTAAAAAAAAGAAATTGTCAGGGGCTGGAGAGATGGCTCAGCAGTTAAGAACATTTGCAGAAGATCTGGGTTCAAATCCCAACACCCACATGGCAACTAACAACTGTATAACTCCAATTCCAGAGGATCCGACAGCCTCTTCTGTCCTCTGCGGGCGTTGAACAACACAGGTGCACTTACGTACATGCAGGCAATACATATATACACATAAAAGTAATAAATAATATAAAAAAAGAAATTATCTTGATGCAAATATTGCATTAAGGCAACTAAGTCTTTAGAAAAGAATGATGCCTGGTATAGAAAAAATACTCAATACATACTAAATGAAAAAGCACCTGAACCTAAGGTCAAAGAGTGAGGGATAAAGCTGGAGTATCACAGAACACTGTTAAGTTTTAGTTTAAGTATCCCTCAGAAGGTAGAAGGCCTTGTTTCAAGAAGCAATACTTATAGCTCAGATTGGGTTGATGCCTACAAAGTTAAACAAGAGATTCACCTACCCACTGGACTACTTCCAGCTCCATTTGGCACTGTGAGGTCTGTAGTGCTCAGCATTCCACCTGACAATGATATGGAGAAAAAGAGAGAGGACAGAGAATGAATATGAATTGGCTTTATTTACTTCACTAACAGCATGGTGATTTTACTGTAACCCCCATTCTATTCCTAAAAATCAAAACAACTGACCCAGTATCAAGTTGCCATTAACATATAATCTGATATAATTAGGCACACATACACATCCCATATGTATAAAATGTATAACTATACTTGTAACATGTGTAACTACACAAGTGTTGTGGGGGTGTATGTGTGGTATACATGCTTACACATGAAGCTCTGGATATATCTGTCATCCTGTGCATTCTTACCAGTCTTACCAAACACTGGTAAGAATGGAAACAGTACATACAAAGTACCATTAAATTTAAGATTTATGGGAAAGGTGATACTACATTACGCAGACTAATACAGCAAACACACTGCAAATTTCTGCCAAATTATTTAAGTAATTCAGTCAGGAAGAGAGTCACAATACACTCTTACTTCAATTACGTAAGATATTCTTATATTTCTAACATGATTCATGCTCAACTTTTAAATCTTTGCTATGGCACTCAAGTTAAATTTTTCTGCCTGTCAGAGTATGGCTTTCCCATGAGAAGGAAAATTATAGACAATAGGTTCTCTATACTATTCTACTTTGCCATACATACTTGCATTGCCAGCACTTGGTGGCCTCTGAGGAGCTCCAGGGGATACATTTCTATGTAACGCAGCCGGAGGTGGAGACAGCATGCTTGAATCTGCTAATGTTGAACTGGCAGCCAAAGATGGTGACACCAGTGAACTCCCTGGGTTAGTGTATGACAAAGCATTAGGGCTGGTCACAGGGACTGTGACAGACATTGAGAAGTTCTGAGGTGGCAAACCAGGCTGTAAATAATAAAACAAGGAAGAGAAAACTGTTGGTTTCACGTTTGTCTACATTGAGTAAATTTCGCTTGACAAGGTAACTCATTAAAAGTAGAGGATGGAAATAGTTTCTTAATTTTCAGACTTAAGCTGTTTTCTTTAGAATTGTACTTGAACATGAATATAATTGATAAGAACTTTTCATTTTCAATTTTTATACTGACACATATATATTAATGCAATATAGTATGTTTCAAATATTCAAAGAGATGAAAATTAAAGGTTAAAAACTGGTATTAAAGTAGTACTGTTGAGTTGAAACATTACAAAATACATCATGTTACCAAGTAAGCATTAATGAGAACTCCGGTATAAACCAACTTAACACTAAATTTCTACTGGGAGAACCCAAATATAACAGAAGGGGAAAGTGTGTACATGCATTATTTACTTAATACATCAATTCGAGGACATTATTGATATAATATCTGGTTTGAATGACCAACATTTTTCAAACTAGAAAAGGCAAGTAATTATACACATAATAAAATGTAATCTGATGTAATCAAATATACAAATAACAATTTAGACAATATAATTAACTACTTCCAAGTTAGGATTCAGACTGTTGGTATCTTTAATACTATATGAAGATTAAATTATATTCTAATATTATGAAAGCCATTTTTTCTTGTTCTCAAAATGTTCCATGCTTCCTCTGAAAGAACATTTCCTATTTCCTCCACAGACAAATTTCAATACATTTGTTTGAAGAGGAGGGGGAAAGCAAACAACCTGATTTCTGATCTTGCTTTACAAAGTAAGGCAAACACTGTTAATTTTCAGAAGAATATAAGTAGCTTATGCATTCTATCAATAGTTGATTTCAGGTAGAACTCTAGTTATTTATCAACAAATACAGAAAGTAATATAAAATATAAGTAGCTTATGCATTCTATCAATAGTTGATTTCAGGTAGAACTCTAGTTATTTATCAACAAATACAGAAAGTTTTTTTTTTTTCAAACAAGGCAATTTTTGTGTGCCACATTTTGACAGCTGAAAGCTGAACTGTAAGAACATCATCCCTGTGAGGTCAGAGGAATTTTATTTTATTTGCTACTATTTTGATTTTAAGAATAATGGTATTATTAAAAATAACCCTTTAAAGCTATTTTTCATGTACTTCTTCCTGCAGCACTACTTTGAAGAAATGACATATGATGCATACCAATCCTGAGACCATGGTTTCAAGAGCATTAACCCCAACAATGAAAAAAACATCAGCACTGGAGCCAACTGGTTCCATTATGGCTGGACTTACATATACTGAATTAGAAGATCAGATCTGGAATAATAGTCTTAAGGAGCTCCTGCCAATGGCGTTTCCAATGAGAAGAGCTCCTATAAAACTATTAACTCCAGGATCATGAGCTTGAAAAGTACTGTTTCACTATGTTTAGAAAAATTCTACTGTGACTGTTTTACAAATAGTTTAAGGACACTATTTCCTTAAATTAAAATGAATCCCAGGCCACTTCCTCAGTATTGACAGTGTAAGAAAAGAGCAGCCATTTGGCGTTCTCAAGTGCTTTGGCACACTGAAGAAAGAGCTCAACAGCAAACTCAGCTCTACTAATATTAAAGAAGTTATATAAAATATGCAAAAATGACTTAGAGGCATGACATCTTGCAACAAACTCAATTTACACTTGGCATTCCTAAGAGCTATTTTATATATATGTATGTGCATACATATACACATTAAATTATGGAGAGACAGGAATGTCTTATATATATTTTATATTAAAATCATGAAATTTTAGAAATAGAAGCAACCTTTAAAATTATGTGAACCAACTCATTCACTTCATAGATAAATTGTAATTTGGGATATTTGGATGCCCTATGTAAAGAAATCAACATTATTTAGCAGCAGAACCTGAATTAGAATGTTTTTTCTTCAATCTACATTAAGACAATGAACACTTATTATAAGAGATGTTGGCAATCTTAAAGTTCCGCAAATCCAAACAACATTAATGAATGTCTTTTTCCCCTCTTCTACTTATCGTCACCAACCCTCTGAACAAACGAGGTAAGATGTGTGGTCAATGTCTTCATGCACAAGATAAAAGCACAAACCATACTTTAGTACTCACTGCGATCTTATGATTCCGCATCATATTATCAAATTCCTCATTAATTTTTTTATATTTTTCTTCTGTATGTGGAGTTAGCACATATGAAGTATCAGGGTCTGGGCTGTCGCACCCTCTGTGTTCCTTCTTGTTCAGAGCCTAAATATGAAGTTAATAAAAAGGATCAACAAATAAAAAGTAGAGGTAAAGTGAAAGTACTTACAGGGCCTCGTTTGAAAATAAAATCACTATCTTCATTTAGTTTGCTGAATCTGTCCTCCGAGAGTGGACTGTGCTCAAAGTAATCGTCAGCATCAGGGCTCTCACAACCATTAAGGCCTTTCTTTCTTAAAGTCTGAAATACAATTGGAAAATTCACACACAAATAATACTAACTTTCCATGAGCTTTTTGTAAAATGTATTAAGAGAGAGCACAGGTTCTACAGGTAAATTAAGGCCAAGCTGTGTAAGAGCCACTGAATAATTTTTACATGACTACAAATGTACATAATTATCCAAGTAACAAAAGCCTAAGATATGAGCAAAATGAGCTCTCCCACTGTGTATTATTAAGAGAATTATTATTAACTTGTTTAGATTCTCCTTTTTAAGCTTCTTAGGAAATACTAAAATTGGTGTTACAGTAAAATACTAAAATACTGTAGCTAGAACCTGGTTACAGACTTGAACTTACATGGAATGTATCAAAATGATGTGTTGAGAATTATAGTACCTTTATGCATTAGTCATTTCAGCCATTTCATCTACTGACATTCCTTTCTATGAGAATGTATCCTATTCATCAGAAATTAGCCCAGATCCCAATTTCAGTATATTCTGAAAATATAAAAGTTCAAATCTAATACCTGTTTGTTAACGACTCTTTCCTATGTATGATGAATGTATATACTCTTAGTGACTTTACATATTTTAAAAATCTGTAGTAAAGTTACTCAGAGCACATCTCTCTCCCTTCTGCTAGCTGGTTCTTCTACAGGGACCTCAGAGTTGGCTTAATTCAGATTTGACTCTCTAGATAACTTTCTTGATTATTTCTGAAGTATTCCCTGGACCACAATAATGACTCTCCGACTCCCACCCCACCACTTACTTTGGAGTAAAAATACAGTGGATGGTTGTTGTTATTCTGGTTTCTCTTTAAGAGAAAAAAAAATCCTCATGAAATAACATCTAACTTTTAGTAGAATAACAAACAAGGCCTTAATTTACCTGTAGAATGCTTCATTTTATTTTTAAAATCCTGGTGTGTCTGAATTTAAGGTGCAGTTATTAACAACTTAACCAATTTTGAACCTTGTTGAATTTCTAGTATACCCAGAAGCATTAGACAGTTCAAATTCTCCATATCTACTGAACTATCACTATCAGAGCTTAATTAAGAAATAAGGAATGATGAAAAAATAACTAGACAAATTCATCAACAAATCACCATTTAAGTTTGATCTAAGATATATTTAAAGGTATACTAATAGATCTTAGTATCCCTTAAAATTTGATTTGCAGTAATTATGGATGTTTATTTTGTTCTTTTCAAATGATAATGTACCTAAAGTACATTAAGATTTTGGAATTTTTTTCATAAATTTCTTCAAAGCCAAATGATTTAAAATTTTCACCTTTCCCAGTATGACTTATTTTATATGCTTAAAATTATAAGTAATCATTAATATTGACATGTTAGCTTCTCCAAATGTGTTAGAAATCCCATACACAATACCTGAAACTCCCATTACAACACCGTCATTAAACATGAACTTCCTATCACAAATACTACATCTATTTCCCCAGCATCAGTCAGGTGGCCCTAAGCTCTATGTGTACTTCACCATAAAAGGTCTTGTTGTTTAGAACACTAATAGATGGAGACAATTATCTTCCTGTCCATGGTAGCAAGTTCTACTTGCCAAGTCTCTGCAGTTGCTATCAGTAGTGAAAATGTTAACACTCAGAGTGGAACACACTGAACCCTTACAATCTACACAGCTCTGGAAAAAGAACAAATACTGTAGGTGCCTATATGCAAATCTTATCATGAAACTGATGATTTATTATAGTCTTAAATGTATGGATAGTTTTCCCTAATTTTCATGCAGTTTAAGAGTATTTAATTCAGGGCTGAAGAGATGGTTCAGTTGGTAAAGTGCTTGTAGCACAAACTTAGAACTTAAGTTTCATCCCCACCACCCTACATGTAAAAAAGGAGGTGCAGTGGTGTGTGCCTATAATCCTAGCACAGAGGAGGCAGAGACAGGGACTTGCTGGCAAGTCTAGCAAATTGGTGAGCTCCAGGCTCAGTGAGAGACCTTGTCACAAAAAAATAAAGTGAAGAAAAAATTGAGGAAGACACAATTGTTGACCCCTGGTCTCCACAGGTACTGGCACACGCACTCACACAAGACAGTTAATTAAGGGGCTGAAGAGATGGCTCAGTGGTTAAGAGCACTGGCTGCTCTTGCAGAAGGCCCAGGTTCGGATCCCAGCAACCATATGGCAGCTAATAACTGCCCATAACTTCAGTTCCAGGAGATCCTATGCCTTCTTCTGACCTCTGCAGGCCCTGCACAACACAGGTGCACTTACATGAATGCAGGCAATATGCTCACACACATAAATAATACAAAAGAAGAGCAAGACTGAATTAACTATTTTTTAAGATTTTATTATTTTTATTTTGTATGTATGAGTGCATTGCCTGCATGCGTGTAAGTGCACCTGTGTCATGCAATTCCAGAAGAGGTAAGAAAAGGCTATTAGATTCCCTGGAACTGGAGTTATGTACAGTAGTTAGCTGCCATGTGGGTGCTAGGAACTGAACCCAGGTTCTCTGCAAGAGCAGTCAGTACTCAACCACTACACCATCTCTCCAACCTCAGTCTTGCTCTTCTTTGTGTACTGAAATGGCTATCACTGAATTTCCTATAAACAGTAATCACCAAGTATGTCTCTCTTGTGATTTAATCGCCAGAGGAAAATAGAGCATAATTTTACTTAAAAATTACACATCGATTTTATTTTACAAAAGAAGGGTTAAGCCTACTGGTACTCAAGAAGGAAAGTGCTTTAGTTTCCCCAGCTCTGTAAGTCTTCACTTCAGATGGGTTCCTGGCACCAGGAGGGAATTTAAGAGGCAGTATCAACTCTGTAGATAATGAGCTAATATACCTCTGCTTGACAGCCAACTTGTCTCTCCTTATCACCAAACATGAAGAGCTGTTTTGAAGACCAACTACCATAAAAAGACTTTTTCTGTCTTCTTTATCATTTCCAAATAGGATACTAGTCAAAGTTTCTCCTGTGTCACTGGCACTAACAAGTGGAATGCTGCAATCAATTAAGAAGGCCAGGCAATACACAAAGAGATACGCCAGCCTCAGCTTTCTCACAAATTTCAGTAACAACACGTGTTCAATAAAGAGAAAAGTCGACATTCACCCTTCCATCCCCCTCCCCTCGCCGTTCTATACTCCTAGTTTGAGCCCTGCGCCACTCCTAGTCTTGGGGCCCCAGACACCTGGGGAACCAATACTGCTTCCTGACCCTTCTCACCCAGAGCAACCCAGTCCCTTTCTTGGGCTCCAGGAGCACCACTTCTGGTCCCGGCCCCGCCCTCACCTCGCTCTGCTTCCCTGGGCCTGCACCACCGGCTAACTCTCCTAGCCTGCACTACTATCCTCAGGCCTCTTGGGGTAAGTCTATAGCGCAGC